ATCTTTACATGTTTTAGAATATCTCCTCAGACTAGTACGAATTTGTCTACTCGGCGTAAGAGTGCAAGCCGAGAAAACAAATTGTAAATTACTTTGCCTTACTACAGAATTACGAAGGCAACAGTGATGTGCTATCCAGCAGTTAAAGGGTCATAAAAATCAGTTACAATACCTCCACAGCCTCTACACAATTCATTATTCGTGACAAATATAAGATGTCAAAAAAAATTTAAAATTCATGCTAACACTTTTTATTGTTTTACTTTTTTGTCTTTATATGTGTGGTTTCCGTTATTTCCATTTAGAGAGTTTTACAACGATATCACTTGATGATTCAATTGGGGTCTTGCAAAAGTGGAGTTCGAAGGGGTGAGGTGCAATTATTTAGTGGGTTGACATTTTTTGCTCTGGATATCTGAAATTTGGAAAGTTCACAGATCTATTGAGTAGCATGAACTTCTCACTTCATGAAAAGGCGCATCAATTTTGGCAGAGTTTTTGTAATTTTTGTAGCAGCCTCAGCAGAATTTGCCTACATGTAAAACATGATATATAAAAGTACATTTTTGTAAATCATGACTGATTATTATATTATTTCGTAACTAAATTTGTAAACTCCATTTTTTGAATACAGGACGATGTAAGCAACTTTGGAAATACGCGTGTTGAAGAAGCTGGTGAGATTCCTCGCCCTTCAAAATAAATGTTTCCAATCTATTTTGTGAAGGAATACCCCTTCAAATTTTCTTCACGTCAACTTTAAAAGATATTCGTCGACTGGAATGATCGGATTTTGTCACCTCCAAAGAGTTTAGCAATACCATCGGCTGCATAAAGTTTCTTTCAATTTCACTTTGTAGAAACACACGTAAATCATATTTCCACGCAACATTTTCTGCTCCTGATCATAATGACCTGACATGGAATTTTCAGTCAACACTTCTCTTGAAAACGACAGATACCCGCGATCTGGCCGTGCAGGCAAGAAATTAGAGGACACCGCCGTCAGCTAAAAGCGAGGCGCTTGGTATTAGACAATGGTAAATCTCCCAAGAAGCAAAATTGAGTCGGCCTGAATGGCCGAGGTGAGTAAGAGAGTGTACCGACTCTGCACGTCGATCTGAAGGGTCGCGAGTTCGAGTCCCGCTTTGGGCATGGTTTTTCGTCCCTTGTCATGTATTGCGTAGGGCTTCGCGTTCTTCTGACCCCATGCCAGAGGAGCCCGCAAGTGTGTGGGTGTCTAGAGTATAGTCGAATGTGTGGCCACATCGGAACAAGGTGCCGGGCAAAGGTGACTCGCTTTTGGCTAGATAAAAGACCTAGTAAGTCGAACAAAATTGACATATTTACTTTTCTCATTTCAGCTAGAGGGAGCCAAGCCATCGGCAAAGTTGTGAAACACAATACAGAATTGAAGTAGGTATCGCATATAAAAAACGAATGTATCTTTGAACTTTCAATTGCCTCTCCTGTAAAAGCCATTGCGGGTGACTTTCCATTATCTAGTCCAAAGCGCCTCAGAGGCAGATGTGACCCGCCGTTCCTCCTG